GTTTGAAACCTTTTATGAAATGATTAAAACCCAATTTGGAGCACGTATTCAGGTACTACGATCCGATAATGGCACAAAATATTTCAACTCTGCTCTAAATACATTCCCCCAAACTCATGGCATTATTCATCAAAGTTCATGTGTGAATGCCGCTCAGCAAAATGGTGTATCTTAACGCAAAAATAGACATCTCTTAGAAGTTTCTAGGGATCTAGTGTTTCAGTCAAACACTCCACACCGATATTGGGGGGATGCAATCCTAACCTCATGTTTTTTTATCAATAGAATGCCATCCAGAGTTCTCAGATATGAAACACCCCTAACCATGCTTCAAAGGTGTTTTCCAACAAGCCGATTCTTTACTGAACTCGATTTTAGTGTTATTGGTCGCACGACATTTATCCATAATCACTCACCAAACCAATGTAAACTTGACCCAAAATCCCTTAAGTGTGTGTTTGTCGGATATTCTTCTACCCAAAAAGGCTATCGATGCTATTCACCAACCAAGCGTCGCTATTTTATCCCAAAAGATGTTTCCTTTATAGAAGATCAACCCTACTTCACCATAAAATCGGTTCAGGGTCCGGACAGTGTTAACCAGATTGTTGTGGAAAATCAACAAAGTTGGGAACCTATCATCCCAACATCCCTGCCCATCGACCCACCATCACCAAACATCCAAATACCGAACCCAGAAAATCCCGAAAATCCAGAAAACCTAGAGTCAGCACAGCCTTCTGATCAGAATACTACCAAACCGGAAACTACTTTTGAATAATTCGAGCAGGTCTACTCTAGAAGAGAAAAGGTTGTTGAAGTAGAAAATACAGATCCCGAAAATCCTGCCATTCCAACTTACCCAAAATCAGGTACTTGTTCTAACCCTGAGAATGATAGTCTTAATGTTCCAATTGTTCTAATAAAAGGTTCCAGATCATGCACTAAACATCCCATTCATAATTTTGTTACATACTCTGACTTGCCCAAAGAGATGCAGTGTTTTCTTAGTAATTCACATTTTGAAGAACCAAAGAATATCAACGAAGCACTTAGCATAACTGAGTGGTCTCAAGCTGTCCAGGAAGAGATGAAGCACTAGAGGCAAATGGAACTTGGGACATCGTTGATAAACCAGAAGGTAAATTGGTGGTTGGATATAGGTGGGTATTCACAACCAAGTACAATGCCAATGGCTCGATCGAACGGCATAAGGCCGGTTAGCAAAGGGCTACACTCAATCCTTCGGAATCAACTATCAGTCCAGTTGCAAAGATCAATACAATCCGGGTACTATTATCACTTGTTGCTAATAAAGATTGGCCTCTGCTTCAGTTGGGCGTGAAAAACACCTTTCTGAATGGGGATCTTGAAGAAGAAGTATACATGAGCTTACCAGCCGGAATCGATGAGCAGAGTAAAGAAGGAAAGGTGTGTCGACTCAAAAAGTCCCTATACGGCCTGAAGCAGTCCCCGAGAGCATGGTTCGATAGGTTCACCAAAGCTATTGTCCAGCAAGGCTATACTCAAACTGAAGCTGATCATATTTCATCATCGACAAGGTGATAAGGTAACCATATTCATTGTCTATGTTGATGACATTAAATAACAGGGAACAACAAGGATGAGATCGATCTTATAAAGCAATGTCTGGCCAAATAATTTGAAATGGAGGATCTTGATCAGTTGCATTACTTCTTGGGTATGGAGATCGCAGAAACTCCACAGGTATATTTGTAACTCAAAGAAAATATATATTGGATCTACTAAGAGAAACTGGGATGTTGGGAAGCAAACCGGCTGAGACTTCTATGAATGCTAACGAACAACTGGGAGATTGCAGTGATGAACAACCAGTTGATAAAAAATTAATCTACTTATCTTACACCCAACCAGATATTGCTTTCCCGGTCAGCTGTGTAAGCCAATTTATGCACTCACCTACTACAACACATATGCGGGCAATGTATAGGATCCTACGGTATCTAAAGGGACCCCAGGTAAAAGACTGTTCTTCAGGAAAAATGAAGGGAACAATACAGTTGATGTTTTCACGGATGCTTTTTGGAACAGATAGTAGATCCACCTCAGGCTACTGTAGCTTTGTAATGGGAACTTTAGTCACTTGGAGGAGCAAAAAACAGCCTCTAGTGGCTAAGAGTACTGCAGAAGCTGAACTTAGATCGTTATCTCGAGAAGTAGATGAGGCATTATGGTTGGAGCTATTTCTTGAAAAACTGGGTAGCTGGCCTAGCTTTATGCCTGACTCTATGGCTTACTTGCTTCCCTTTCCCCTGTGTATCCAATTCAAAAGAACTATCAGTATGTTTTTCGAAAACAAGTCCGCCATAGGAATGTGTCTAAATCTTGTTCATCATGACCTCGTACAAAGCACGTAAGGATAGATAGACATTATATCAAAGAGAAGATTGGTGCAAAGGTCATTTCAGTAGAATACATTTCTACTTCTCAACAAACAGCGGACATTCTCACAAAAACCTTATTCAGACCAGACTTTGAGAAGTTTGTTCACAAGCATGGACTGTCCAATCTGTACCATCCAGCTTGAGGGGGAGTGTAAACGATATTAGGATATTGATTAGGTCTAGAATAAGGGTATTGGGATCGATCAGGTCTGGATTAGGAGTTTCTATATTATGTAGATATTTTTAAAGGGTCTCCTAGTTGTAGTCTGTTTCTTAGTTTCCTTTTTAATTAGGTGGTAGCTTGGTTATTAATGGGGTTCCCTGTATTCTGTTTTTCATATGAGTGAAATATATGAAAGCTTTCACCTACTATAATAATCTCATAGCTTTTAAAACTCTATTGGATAACAATGATGCAATGAACATAGCACAACCCAATGCAACATGATTGAACGAAGCACATTGAGATTGATGGACGCTTCATTGAAGAAAAGTTGGACAATTACCTTTCATCTATACACAACGCCAACTTGTTCGCATACTTACCAAAGGGTTAAGTAATAGACTATTTGAGAATTTTGTATCTAAGTTGGGAATGGTGACCTATTCACCAGCTTGTGGGGAGTGTGGAAAAGTGTGTTAGAGCGTATCCTCACATAAATAGTGGATAAAAAAAGAGTAGAAATATTGTACATAACTAGGGAGGTTTTCCCTGAATAAATAAGACAAATACTATCTCTCCTAATTTTTATTTTCCACAATATACACGGGCCTTCGAGGGTTCATTTCCTTCGTCCTCTTCTTTCACTATGTTATGGTTAAATTACAAAAAGAGTCATTGTCAGCTTTCCAAGATCATAGTCCTTGAATAAAAGAGTTACCCTATATGTTGATCTTTGAGCCTTTTTTCGTTATACAAAGTTAATTGTACAAGTCATGCGAACACCAATTACAGATTTAAAAACTAAAAAAAGGCCTACGAACACAAATCTGTCATTTCTTTTTTGTCTTTCAATATCTATTTTGCCAAATTATCTTATCCTCTAGTTGTTCTCACAGAGAACAATCACATTTTAAGAATAATACAACTTATGTACTTCACTTGCAAAGAGCAAAACCATGTTGCAAGGGGATAGGTACATGATACCTAGATTTTAAAATTTACAAAGTTGAGGATATAGGGTGCATTTATGAACGTGTATAATATATATAGGGAAGATCGTGCGAGAACCCGATCAACTTACAAGAAGTGGGAGAAGGGCCAAATCACATGTGATTCTAGAGCAAAATCACATGTGATATAACATGTGATTCTCGGACGTGTAGTATGACGTGTCATTTTACTATAGAATCACATACGATTTGGCCCTTTTCCCACTTCTAGTAAGATGATCGGATTCTCTCATGATCCTCTCTGTATATATATTATAGGTTCACAAATGCACCCCATATCCTCAAGTTTTTAGAATTTTAGAATCCCCATATCCAGGTATCATGTACATGTCCCCATGCAACATAGGTTGTTTACCTTGCATGTAAAGTACTTAAGTTGTGTTATTCTTAAAATCTGATTGTTCTCTATAAGAACAACTACAGAATGAGATAATTTAGCAAAATAAATTAAACAGACATTTAAACACAAAAAAAGCGACAGATTAATTTCTAATTGGTGGTCACATGACTTGTACAATTGACTTTTTATAACGGAAGAAGGCACAAGGATCAACATCTACTAATTCTTTTATTCAAGGACTCCTTTGTAATGAACAAAGTATGATTTCATTGACTCTGTCTATATCCCATGTTTGTTAATATTTTAGTAAATCTCTCAAAACCATGCCCGTGTTGATTACTTGAGCCCGTACAAGGCCTTTCTTAATCTACATATTGTACCGGTGGTATATCAAAGTAGCCATTTTCATTTCAAAACCATTTTGGTATATATGGATTTGTGGCAAAACCCTTTCGGGAATTGATTGAAGAAAGTGATTGGTTTAGAATCTGAAATTGCCTTTTGTATTTCTGGCACTGAAGAGTGGAATCTGAGATGAATGAAGATTATAAGCGAAACCTATTTTGGAGACTCATTGAGGAAGATAAAGAGTAGGACTGCGAATCTTAAGATTTGATTTGATTATGGTTTTTGATTGATCTTATGTTTGAATTGGATGAAGGATTTAAATTTTGAGACTCGAATTTGTTCCGATTTTGGATCAAAGTTGTTCCATTTTTTAGTTGTTTAGTTAAGATCAAGGACGAGGATGAGAAAAAAGATGAGGTAAAATGACATTTTTGCCCCTTCAGAACGGTCATGTGTTAAGTTTGGTGTTATTTGTGCATGGGAAATAGTGTTAGTGACTTAAACATGTGAGTTAATTTCTTGTGTGGCAAATTTGATACAAATAATAGTTTGGTGGCAAACATTGTACTTCTATTATGATACAAATCCTACCAGGCACTTAAAGAATTATCATCAGAATCCAATAGCAGGCATGAAAATATTACTGGGAAGAATTTAATGGTGTTGAAGAGTAGCCAAGAAAGAATTCATACAATATCAAATAGGCAACTTACAAGCAAAGCCGGTGCTGAGGAAGCTCCATATATTCTGACAAACATGCGCAGGATATTAAAATTGTTCTCCAACACATCATCCTACATTAAAGAACATTTACCTTTACAAATGGTAACGGTAATTGGAACGAAATTTTGGTTAAGAATGAGAACCGATGATATAGCTGGACTGACCTCATAGTCAAACCTACAGCAGGCATTGAATCACTTAACATGATTGAAGACTCTTACATTTTCCTCATGTACAGTAAACATGTTTCAGAGTTAATCAAAAGAAAAACCACAATATGATGACAAGTAGGCACTAGAACCCAACAAGATTCATAGTCAAAAGGTACATTCGTCTTGCGAACATTTCTTTTTCTTTCATTGAATTTGGGAGGTGTGAGTTGGAAAATATTCAATTTTTCCTTTCTGAGTCATACAATAAGAAATCATTAATCTGATCATGCTAAATGTAATATGTTAGGTATTTCTTCCTGTGGAATTATTTAACCAATATTCCCAAGTTAATATGAAAAGTAGCAACACTTTAGATAAGGGATAATACTAACAAGTCGTCGGATACTTCCACAAGGAACTCTGATACTGATAGGAATTCCATATGTACTTCATTAATCTTCACGTCGTTTCAAAGGAAACAAAAAAAGACAAATTAGAAATTGTGATTCATGTCAAATTAACAAACGAAGAGTCGGGGTGTTGTTTAGTTGGTTAAATCGGTTTTCGGTTTATTCGGTTCGGGTTAATCGTTTTTTCAACTTTTTCCTAACTAATCAATAACCAAACCAAATAAGGTTCGGTTTAATCGGTTTCAGGTTATTCGGTTCGGTAACAGGGTTAACCGAGTAAGTTTATATTCTTTTTCATTGGACATTTACGCCAACTTTTCCAAATGCAAGGGTTGTTGCTTCGAATATATATAATTGTATAGTTGACAATTTAACTAGCATACAAAAACATTATCTAAGAAAAGATTCTCTTTAGACCACATCATCGTATATCAAATAAAAAACATTAAGTAAAAAATATTATCTAGTAAAAAAAGTATATAGTATCAAGCAAAAAATATATAAAATAACAATAGTGTAATGTGTTATTCGTTTTATTTGTATAGAAATAAAATATATAAAATAAAAAGATAATGTGTTATTCCGATTAATGGAATTAGTAAAAAATTAACCGAAAACAAAACTGAATAAGGAATCCTATTCTATTTCCTGAACCGTATAACCCGAAAACCGAATAACCCAAATATCATTTGGTTCGGGTGGGTTATTCGGTTTTCTTCTACACCCTTACCAAAGAGCCTCGGTTATGTTCAAGTATAAAATAAGTTAATGATGTTGCTATATGAATAATATACCATTATGCACAAGCAAAATACTTTGTTTCTCTAGAAAGGAATTCCATAAAGTTAAATAAAAAACCTGAAACAAAAGCTGATATATGCAACCATCTTTTTGAATTATATTACCAATAGCAAATTCTTTGGCTTCATGAGTTAAAAGGCAACACAGATGAACATGGAGTACAATACATGATTTGTCATGGAACTTACATATATTTTAAATTTTTTTATCAAAGAAAACAATCCAGAATAATGTAACAAAGAAAGCTACCAATTCATTTACCTCTTTGCCATTCAAATGGTATAAGAGTAGATTCAGAACCCGATAGTCGAAGGACTTCAGATGTATTGCTTTCATAACGTCTTCTACTTGAATCTGTATCACAATTTTTTGTTGAGAAAGATAGTAAGTAACAATTCCCCTTCAGATGCTAATGAAGATGGTTCCTGGTTCTTTAGAACTACTACATGTGCTAATAAAAAGTTGACTTTTCAAGTGATATATCCTAATAAATGTTTTCGCAATGATTGGATTGCTATGTACCCTCTCATCTGCCTTTCTACATATTCCCATTTTATCAATGATTACAAACTGAAAATCAGATGCATATCTGTGAGATAAACTCAATGGATTGATTCTTAACTTGCTCAAGATTCTCTTATCGCTACATATGTAATACCACATATAGATTTCCATTTACTATTACAACTCAATAACTACCCACAAAGAGACGACCACAGCATAGATTCATACTATCAAGAAGGTACACTCCAAGGGACCAAATGTACCATGTGTCACAAGTGACTAGGAGATGATTCGCTGAGGACCAGTGTGCCATACATCTTGGCCAAATCAGGCCAACTTAAACAGGTTTTACATGAATAATTGGATACAATCATCTATCACAACCACAAGGAACATACTTGGTAGGGAGTTCCTTAGGATGTCTCCTTGCTATTAGCCTTACTACGTTTATGAGAAAGGTTAGAATGGGTTGGCGGCCATGGGCTTGTTTGTTTGTTATCCCCTCGCTTTGAAAAAAATCCTGGAAGGGTGTCTCTTTGGGAAGACATAGGAAAGTGTAAGCTTCAGCATGAATTTAGGAGGGATATCTGTGTTGACCCCTGTTTAGGTGCCTTCTAAGGGCAGAGGAGGACTATCCCCACATTTACTCACGGGAAGGATATTAAAATGAAGAAGCAGGCCCTGCATCAGGAGTGCTGCTGTGATCCTTTGACATATATTACATAAGCATCACAATCAGTCACATGGACAATCATGTGCCAGATGGTATAGTGTAACTAGCAATACATTACTTGCTACTTTCAGAAAACACCATCAACATTAACTCTTGTACCTCTTGTTTGTTTGTTAATGCCCAACAGAGATTTCTCTCTAGAGCCCAGTATTCTTCCCCACACTTCAACTCATCTCTTATCCTGAAATTGATATAGGCAATTTAGACAGCAACTAGAGCGCATGCTATGACACCTTCCAAGGAAATGGAAAATATAGAAAAGAGGTTTTAACCTATCTGTAAACATCCCATAGTGTTCTAGATGAACAGCAAGTGGTTTGAACGTAACCCAACTGCTATTAGCCACCTGTACATTACTACAGCCGATCAACTAACTGAACTAGAGGCTCATGCCTCATAGATTTTGCTCCATGTTCTCTCAGAATTCAGGTGTTACCCGGTCAGGCCTCCTGTCGAGATCTGGGATTGCACCAAATGGATATTGTAGTAGTTTCTCATTTATGGTGTCCAACTGCACGATATCATAAGGCACTCATTGAACATTAAAGTATTCCGAGATGCAGTGCTAAAGACAATTAACAATTTTGTTTAAGCAATATTGTCCATTTTATATTTACTGTGTCATTAAACCATTTGGGAGAGATAGTAGTAGCAAGTTTTGAAGATTGGGGAGGCTAGACTCATTAATATTGTAGAATGGAATCTGACAATGTGTGAAATGCATGCACATTAAGGTGGAATCTGTGAGGAAATGGAGATCCCAGGACTACTTATCGGGTCCTCATGTTATCCTTGACCAAAATTTACTTCATTCTTTTAGGATACAATACCTGATAAATGTAGCTCTCAGTGAAGGAAAGCAGCGGTAGGAATTTGAATATTGAGTCTGCACTGTTAGCATCCATTTCATGAAACATAAAGTAAGATCTGCACTGTTTATTCACATGCCAATAAGACAAATTAGACATCAGATAAAGCTTGGAGCATAACACTGTAACAAAGAAAATTTAGTGACAGTTGATTTCAGAACTACTCATTTAAGGCCCATATACTTTGAAGCCATGAAGAAAAAATGGCATGCGAGAAGAAAAGGAATTGATACAAGCATCCAGTGGGCCAATGCTATACATCTCTCATGATGCAAAGGCATGCTACCAATTACAGATTCCCTAGGAAGGTGGTTTCTGCCCTCATTAATGATATTTAAGTTTTTGGCTCTAATACTTGCATGGTATCAGAGCTCAATTGAGCCACAAACCACCATTCTCAAAATCTCAAAACAGGAAAAGGAGAAAGAGATGAGCTGACATCTCCTTGCTCAAAAGATATCCACTACCTTCACCTGAACCACCAGCTACTCATCAGTGCCATCACCTTGTTGCACCATCGTAAGGAACCAAACACCCACCACCTTGCCACTCCCACCAACTCTCCTAGCGAAACCTTATGCAACCAATCATCTGTGCCTCTTCTCGAATGCCAATCGCCTATGTACCTTCCGAGAATAAATTCTACCTGCTAAACCTAGCAGAACCCTCTCTACCAAACCCAAGCCCTGTTATGGAAGAAATTTTAGCCAAACCCTCTATCAGACGGTTACTAGCCACCTGTCACAACTCCACCCTCTGAAACATGACTGACACCCTAAAACCACAGGATACTTGTGACTGATTTTGCAACTGAGAGTGTCTAAACCTTCATGGATGATAGATGCCAGTTTGATTCTTTGCATGTTTGATGCTCTAGTTACACAATATAATGGTTGATTTGTATTGTTTCTGAACAAAAACCAGCATCCATTGCTTGCCGTTCTTTTTTATAACCCTATTCTACTGGTGAACATGTACATGGCTGTGAGATTATTTTTCTGCCAATTTATTTTCCTTTTTCACTTACCAAGGAAGACTAGAGTGATGATACCATAGCAGGACCATACTAAGGATATACCATACAAAGGACCTCCATCCTAGTTTCCTCCTCATTCTAAGGGGTCCACCCCCTCGCCCTCCACAACTGCTTCTACTGGGTCTTTCAGTGAGATGTCTAGGATCGGTATCAGGTGTCTTCCAATCTTAAGGCTGATTCAGCATTATCAGGTATATCCACTGTTTTTCTGTGTTCTCAGGCAGCAAGTGAGCCTTGGATTTTTCTTCATTAGGCTCGGTCATCTTGGATGATTGATTATAGAGGTTCTAAATTGTAATTTGGGAGTAGCCAGTAGGAACTGGTTATCCAACATTGCACAACCCTCTTCCCATTCAGGTGTCTCCAACTTGAGATATGTTGATGGTTATCTATGTCCCAGGAAAGGAGCTGGTTCCTCCCACATCACAAATCGCCTACCTTTAACTTCTATTTTTCGACGGGACAGCCTTTCTTGACGGTCTTGCTTCTTTTAGCCAAACTACGTGTAATTTAAATTGTTCTCTAAACCTTCTTTCCCACCTACCCTGTTTCTCAGAACTCAGGGACAAACCGATTAATTGACACCAAATATGACTATCTTGGACTATATGGATGGGGCATGTACCAAACACCTTTGGCATATCTATGTGATACACACATCAAAGATACTCATTGTCAAATGGATCATCCTTCATTGACTGCCTAAAAGAATTAGAGTCGGATATTTTCTTCTATTTCAGATTTCAATTAAGAATCGTGTTAGTTAGCAAAACAAACTCATGTTCTCTCTGTCCTAGAGGTGATAGTCGAGTCACGTTTTTATTACATTTAGTTGATTATGAGGCTTGAAGACTTTAGCTGATTCACTCCATTTATGGTTTTCAATATAATACAACTTCCGTAGATGATTTTTCAAGAACCACTTGGGTTTATTTATTAAAATATAGAAGTGTAATATATTTATTTGTGACTTCTGTATGTATGTCATAACTCATATTGAGATCTATCATAACTTTATGTACGGACAATGCAACAGAGTATTTCACTATCAATTCCAATAAATTTATTTCTGGATATCGAACATTGCATAACTTTATGTGTGCTTATAGGCTTCAGCAGCATGGCATCCCTAAGCAGAAGAACCGTCTTCTGCTTGATCTAGCTCACATATTATCAATTCATCGTAATGTTTCTCATTGATTTTAAGGAGACTCGACCAAGCATCAAGAGTTGCCGTAATAATTGCAACCCTTTCTAAAATGGAAACAAAAAAAGGAGAAAACAGCACTTAAGCTTACACTAGGAATCTTTTTTCATCACCATGAAAAGGTCAGGACCAAGCTGACTGCAACTCTCAGCATAAGTTACAATTGGGCCAAAGTTTACATTCATTGAATAAAGAGTTACCATTAAGGACAAGTACTATTCGCTGTTGGAGTTACTATCACTGTTGGAGAACACTGTTTATGCCGGAGGTCACAGTTCATGGAAGATGTCATCTTCACTGAGAAATATAGAAGTGAAATGAGCTTCTATTATTTAAGCAATAGAACTTAATGCTCAACATGCTACTCACTGTTGATGGTAACTGCGGTCATAACTTTAACACAATCGGTATCAGATACCAAGTCTACATAACCAGAGGTCATCATCAACTGGTGCAAGCAGATCCTACTCAAGTACTCAACCATTTAATAACTATGACAAAATAGTAATCCTTAAAAGGTTAGCATGAAAATGTGACCAGAATGGTAGGTAGCAAGTAGGTGACGAGTTATTTCTTACAAAATCCTCTAAAGTAGAATTTGCCCGTTGCATTGAATCAAGTGTAATCATCGCCACATCTGCACAATTAGTGTGCAAAAATCCAAGATCCGTTTCATCCTCACAATGATGTGACAGAGGATCTTCAATATGAAAATTGCCTGCAAAGAACTTAATAGTTGAATGCAGGCACTATTGAATTACAAAGGTGGTTGAAAAACCATTTTCTCTATTAGACAAACTACCGGTTTATTATTTTGTTTATCTCAACAAACACTGCAACCAAGACTTCAAGTTCACATTGAATAGGGAAACCAAAAAGAATAAATTAGAAAATAGAAAGAAAAGATTACAAGTATGTAGAAATATTGTATATGTGGAGAGTGAAAGAAAGACTAATGATTCTATCATAATAAATATAAAATGACACTGCAAATGAAGAAAAAACTCAAGGACTGCCAGCATTTCCTTATTTCAGGAGTGCTTTTAAATACCCGTATATCTCTGTTTTTGCAATTATTTCGGAGGTTCCGTGAGAAACCATGGAAGGAGTGACATCAAATTCTCATGAACTAATAATATTTCCTTTACCAAGAAAAAAGAATTTTTATATTCAAAGATATTAACAATGAACATGGACATAGAGCAGCTTCTAAATAAAATAAGCAGTAGTTACTGAAGAATGCCACATAGTTTAGTTGCACTAGACCTTTGTCATAAAGCTGGCATAATGCTTCCTCAAGAAACGCAGAAGAAATCTGTAAATCAAATACCATAGATGTGTTTATTGCATCCTCTAGAAATTACAAATGGAAAGAACATCAGAATGTTATTATACCAACCTTTGGGAAACTCTCAGATATCAATTTACACTTTTGATTCATATCTAGCTCACCGCATGGTTGCATCTTCAACATCACATTTCAAACCAATAAAATATCAGAATTTCTTTTAAATTCTAAATATGAAAAGTAAAAGAACTAAAACATTGTGCCCCAAAAGGGAAAAAGACAACTCGCGCACCTAGTCTGAACGCCACAAATGCAAAACCTCTCACTCACACACATACACACACACTCTTGTGTTGAGAGAAAAAAGTTAACCCCCAACCCCAAAACAAGTCAACCCCTTAGCTAATAGAAACCTAATTGCACCAAGGATCCTTGTTTTACAAGGGCTAACGAGGGATCTTTTTAAGGAAGTTTTTGTTCTTAGTGTCACAAGGAAAGGCATACAAAAGATGATTGTTACAGGCTGACAGGATACTCAGTTGGATATCCATTGTATGGGAAATTTTCCTAACAAGATCACCAAAGAGAGGCCATATACTAGTAATAGCTCTCAAGGAGAGCTACAATCTAAGTCGACTACTAAGCCTATGAATTTGGTTCACACTACTCATGAGTTTACACCTCTGGATGACGAAGTAACTGATTATCCGCCGGCACATGCATCAAGGGCAGAAATATTATGTTGCCATGGCCAGAGTTGATCAGTTCCATAACCATTGAACCAAATTATAACGTTTTTTCTTTTTTAACGGTTATGCACTGCATCAAAATGGTTCTTGGACTTGGTTTGTCTTACAGTTCTCGTAATTCTCTAAATCTAAATACATATGTGACAGCCACCAGGCTTGTAATAACACAAGACGAAGCATATCTGGTTATTGCATGTTTCTTGACAAGTGTCTTTTTCCTAAGCAGTCAAAGAAACAAGGTATTTCTTGTTCATCTGCAAAGATTTAATATTGTTCTATTGTTGATGCGATCTGTGAACTAGATTGGTTGACTTCTTCTTAAGAACTCAGCTTTGTTGTCCCTTGTCCAGTTTGAGTTTATTCATACTGCTAATGTGCTATTGCACTTGCCTCTAACCTTGTTCATTATTATTCCAGGACCAAGCGCATAGAGTTTCACTTTCACCCTTGTTTTGCTCGTGACAGTATCAATCAAAGACATATCACGCCTACTTTGTTACACGCAGAGCTCTGTTGGTTTGTGTACTTATAAAGGCCATTCATTCCTCTTAACACATCCAAATTGGGAGTGTGCAAGTTAAACACACCTCCACCTTCGAAGTTGCAAGGGGATATAGAGCATTATAACACTGAAGATCACAACAGCTTTGTGGAACTTAGAAAACAAAAAGTATGAGGTTATCATCGAAATTGATTCATTTCTTAGAATTTTTGTAGCAATCAACAAGAGCATGATAAGCGAGTGTTTCGGGATGTTTCCTGTACCGAATTCATTGTAACTTGAAATTCTAATTACAGCTCGCAAATAACTGGTTGAAATCAAAAAGAAGGAAGAAAGAAGTACCATAAAGAGGATGAAATTGGCAAGAAAACGGTTTGAATCGCCATTGGTGTTGTTGGAAGAATCGATTGCGCCAACTGATTGCATCATCAACATTACATTTTGAACTTGTTCAAGCTCCTTTAATTGTTCCATCTGGTATGGTATTGTTTACTTCCTCCTCTCTGCAAGGGCTTTCACTGAAACTCTTATTATGGTTTAAAACCAAGATTTTATATCGAAAATAAGACAATTAATACAACTTTTTATCAAAAAGAAAAAACCGAAAATTATGAATTATTTTGTTAACAAAATGTATTTGAAGGGTTATCTTGACAATTTCGGTCATCAAAACGGATTATTAATAAATATTATTTATCCGGTAAATACTTACCAGGAAAAAGTATTTTCCATTACTTAATGGATAAAATTCTTGGTCATTGTTATGCTTTTATAAGGTAAGATTCTAGATCCTTTCAATACTCATTGAAATGTAAATGACAGTACGGTGAACATTTACTCGGTAAATGTTCGGTAAACAACCTAAGTTTTATGGAGTTCAACGTGAAATTTTAAAAAAATGTATGTATATAATGATAAGATGAAATTTTGAATTTTAATAAAATTTAACATCATAAGGGTATGTTTGGTACACTAGAGAGGATGGTAAGAAAACAAGGATCCATTGTTGTTGTTTTATGTATAAAACGCATTGCTCAATTGTTGTGTTTACATTGATTCGTGTTTCAATTAAACATATTAATAATCTCATAATAATGTATTTTTAAATCTTTCATGGAAATCATTGATGTTGATCCTGAGTGTGTCTAACGATGCCTTAAGACTTACTCTATTTCCATTTTCTTGACGAGACCGAGCAAAGTCATGGTTTAATTCTTTGCCACCAGGTTTTGTACCATCATAGAATACTACGACTAAAATGTTTTTACAAAAATATTTTCCACCCATTAGGAATGCTAAGTCCAGAAATGAAATTCGTTTACTTACACAATTAGACGATGAAGCAGTCTCTGATGCATGTGAGAGGTTTAAAGAGTTGTTGAGAAAATACTCTCGACATGACATTCCTTATTGTATTCAACTCGAGACATTCTACAATAGGTTAAATCTCATGGCTAAACAAATGTTCGATGCGACATCAAGAGGGGAGCCTTTACAGGTAGTACCTATATTGCGGGTATGAAATTCTTGAAAAGAGTTCAGCAAACAATTGAGACTATGATGATCTACATGTCCAACCACAAAAGAGGACCGCTGGAATTCATGATGTAGATGCATATACTACATTAACATCACAAGTCACTTCCATGGCCATAATGCTTAAAAATATAACTTTTGGCTAAGGAATGCAGCTAGTTGTCACTACACTAGTTCCAACAGTATTCATATTGCAATGTGTTTTTTGTGGAGGGGAACACTCCTATGAACATTGTCCTCATAATTCTGAATCAATAAACTATGTTCATAATAGATTGGGTTATGTTGGTCCCAAAAGGGTCTACAAGATAAGAAACAGTTTGTAGAAGGGGGGATGAATACAAACACAAAGTTTTCAAATTTAAAATATATATTGATAGAGAAGATCAATACAGATTTTACAAGATTGTTTGCGGAAAGAAAAGGTATAGGAAACCTATCTAAACAAC